ATCAATTTGGCTGGGCCATGATTCCCTGTATTGTGTGGTTTTCCTCCATTTTGTGATTGTAATTTTATGTTAAAGAGGATTATGGAAAGACTGTATAACACCCTTACTGAGGTCACATCCCTGATCCAATGTAAAGGGAGTTTACAAGAGATAAAAGGAAAGTGAAGCAAGCAGAAAGTTGGGGATCTCATATCACCAAGGAAGAAGCACCAGGAGCAGAGCATGTCCTTTGGACCTGAGGTTTCTGTACTGAGATGCTCCTAGACCAAGCGAAGACTGATGACAAGGACCTTCCTCCAGAGTTGATGGAGAGAGAAATCCTTCCCCTGGAGCTGCCACCCTGAATTTGGACTTGTAGCCTAATGGACTGTGAGAGAATAAATTTCTCTTTGTTAAAGCCAAAAATAAAGAAAGAAAATCAATCAATGTAATAAACCACATAAGCAGAAAGAATTTACATGCTGAAAACTAACCAATCCTGATGAAAGAAATCAAAGAATATCTAAATAAATGGAGAGACATATCATGTTCATGGACTAGAAGACTCAATATAGTAAAGATATAAATTCTCTCCAAAGTGATACATGGGTTTAACGCAATCACTATCAAAATCCCAGGAGGAATTTATTTAGATACAAATGAGATTTTTTTAAAAAATTATATGAAAAGGCAAAAGAAGTAGAATATCTAAAACAATTTTGAAAAAGAACAATAAAGCGTGAGGAATCAGTCTATCTGATTTCAAGACTTATGTAGCTAAAGTAATCAGAACTGTGTGGTATTTGTGGAAAGATAGACCCATGAGTCAAAGGAACAGAACAAAGAACACAGAAATAGGCACACACAAACACGCTCAACTAATTTTTGATAATGATTCAAAAGTAATTCAATGGAGAAAAGATAGCCTTTTCAACAAATGGTGCTGAAGTAACTGGACAGCAATAAGCAAAAAAAAAAAAAAAGAACTTGAGCTAAGTCTCACACATTATACAAAAATTAACTAGTATGGATCACAGACTTACATGTAAAATATAAAACCAAAAAACTTTAGAAAAAAAACACAAGGGAAAATCTTTAGGATTTAGGGCTAGGCAAAGAGTTCATAAATGTGAAACCAAAGGCATGATCCATAAAAAGAAAAACTGGTAACTTGGGCTTTATCAAAACCGAAAACTTTTGCTCTGCAAAAAACCCTATTGTGATGGTTAAGATTGTGTGTCAACTTGGCTGGCCCACAATTCTCAGTGTTTATATGTGATCACTCCCATGACAGAATCTGCTGTGAGTAGCCAATCTGTTGAAAGGGAGTTTCTTTGGGGTGTGGCCTGCATCTGAATATAAGCAGACCTTCTGGCTTTTTCGCTCACTCTTGATCCTGCGGCTGCCTCCTGTTTGTCTGACCTCCGGTTCTTGGGACTTGAGCTATCAGCTTATCTGCCGATCTTGGGATTCATCGACCTTCACAGCCTGTGAGTAGGAGACCTGCTCTCCGACCTGCCCATCTTGGGTTCGCCAGCCCCTGCAGCTATGTGAACTGAGAGAAGCCTCTATCCTGAACCATGGACTTGGATGTTCCAGCCTCTACAATCGTATAAGCCGTTACCTTGTTATAAATCTCTCTATATATGTATTTATATGCTTTACTGGTTTTGCTTCTCTAGAGAACCCAGCCTAAGACACCTATTAAATGGATAGGAAAACAATCTACAGAATGGGAGGCAATATTTGCAAATTGCTTATCTGACAAAAGACTACATAGAACATATAAAATAGCTAGCATATATATATCTTTATATATTCTAGACAAAACTCAGCAGTAAAAAAGGAAATAATCCAATTAGACATGGGCAAAAGACATGAAGAGGCCTTTCACCAAAGAAAATATACAGCTGAAAAGACGTTCAACATCATCAGTCATTAGCGAATACAAATTAAAATTACAACGAGGTATCTCTACATACCTATCCAAATGGCTAAAATAAAAAAATAGTGACAACACTGGTGAGGATGCAGACAAACTGGATCATTCATATGTTGCTAAACCCCCACTGCCATCAAGTCGATTCCGACTCATAGTGACCTTATAGGACAGAGTAGAACTACTCCACAGAGTTTCCAAGGCTGTAATCTTTATGGAAGCAGACTGCCACATCTTTCTCCCACAGAACTGCTGACTGGGTTCAAACCACCAACCTTTCAGTTAGCAGCTGAGTGCTTTAAGCACTGTGCCATATAAAATGCTCTCCAGCCACTCTGGAAAACAACGCGGCAGTTTCTTAAAAACACTAGATATCCAACCTACCACCCATTGCCGTCAAGTCGATTCCAACTCATAGTGACCTTATAGGACAGAGTAGAACTGCCCCCATAGGGTTTTCAAGGCTGTAATCTTTACATGGGCAGACCACAAGGTCTTTTTTCTTTTGGAGCAGGTGGTGGGTTCCAACCACCAACCTTTCGGCTAGCAACTGAGTGTTTAAACCACTACATCACCAAGTCTCCTTCCAACTACCACACAACACAGCAACTGAACTCCTGGGCATTCAACCCAGAGAAATATACGTATGTTCACACAAAAACCTGTACATAAAAGTTTACAGCAGCTTTATTCCTAATAGCCCCAAGGTGGAAACAATCTGCAGGTCCTTCAACAGGAGACTGGGTAAACAAACTGTGGTACATTCATACCATGAAATACTACTTAGCAATACAAAGGTACAAACTATTGATACATACAACATCCTGGATGAATCTCCTGAGAATCACGCTGGAGAGTGGGGGTAAGGCCAATCCCAAAAGGTTACATACTGTATGATTCCATTTATGTAACATTTTGAAATGACAAAATTACAGAAATGGAAAACAGATCAGTGCTTGCCAAGTACTCAGAAGAGAGTAGGAGTGGGAGGGACATGGGTATGCCTGTAAAAGGGCTACAGAGGGATTCTGTGATGATGGAAGCATTCTGTATCTTGATTGTATCAGTATCAATATCCTGGTTGTGATATTACACTGTAGTTTTACAAGACATTACCACTGGGAGAAACTCGATGAAAGGTACACAGGATCTCTCTGTATTATTTCTTACAACTGCCAATGAATCTACAAGGTCACAAAATAAAAAGTTTAATAATAATAAAGAAAAAAGCTTAGAAATGGCAACAGCCTTCATAGTGGGTTCCCTGCTACTAGTTTCTCTCTATTCTCCTCTATCTTCCATACTGATGACAATTACCTTCCTAGGAAACCATGCTTGTCATGTCCCTCTCCTTCCTGGAGACCTCTTGGGTGTACAGTACCAAGATACTAATATATTAGATTGGCACATTAGATACTAGTATATTAGAGTCACACAATGGCCCTGATTTCTCTCTCCAGCTTTACCTTCCACAATTCTCATCCATATATCCTGAGTTTAGGGTCATTTTATCCTTCGAAAACTACAGCCATAATACTCAGGGGCTTTAAGTTTTAGAAGGACCTGGGCAAATATTTAAGAAATCCTGGTGGTGCAGTGGTTAAGCACTCAGCTGCTAACTGAAAGGTCAGCAGTCCCTAAGTCTGCTTCCATGAAGGTTACAGCCTTGGAAACACTATGGGGTAGTTCTACTCTGTCCTATAGGGTCTCCATGAGTCAGAATCAACTCGACAGCAACGAGTTTTTCAGGCAAATATTTGATACTTCAAAATAAATTCCCTGGATCAAAAATATGAAAACACAGCTAGAATTAAAAATTAATAAATGTTAAATTTTTATAAAATGTGATGTTATGTCAACTTCATTAATTGTTAACTTTAGTATTTATAAAATATTCATTATTTTTGAAAATTTGTAGGTTAGATTTTCTTCCCTCAGAAGAATTCCCAGGTATGCATGATAATTGCAGAAAAATCATAGCCAATTAAATCACAGTAAATTAGATACACTACTTTGAGCCAAATACTCTTAAAGTTATAAAATACATTTTAAATTCTTTTTAGCAAGAAAATCATGTTTTATGTGGGAAGCAGGTGTATTTTAACATATTTGATATGATGGTGTCACTGTGTGTGTGTGTGTGTGTGTGTGTGTGTGTGTGTGTGTGTACGTGCACTTTTGTGCTCCAAAAGTAAGAGGGCCTAAGGGTCTATGGTGATTAAACATGGCTTTGCTGAGCACCTTGATAATACTTAGATACCTGACTCTTTGCCGTGCTATTCTCTATGCCTAGAATACTTTCCCTCTTATATTCATCCAGCAAATTCCTATTCTCATTTCAAGATCCTGTCAAATTTTACTTCCATCTTAAAGCCTACCCCTGACTTAAGAACTCTGTCTACACTTCCCTAATATCACTTATGGATGAAGACCTGGTGGCACAGTGGTTAAGTGCTCAGCTGATAATCAAAAGCTAGGGGGTTCGAATCCACGAGCTACTCCACAAAAGAAAAGATGTGGTAGTCTGCTCCCATAAAGATTACAACCTTGGAAACCCTATAAGGAAGTTCTACTCTGTCCTATAGGGTTGCTATGAGTCAGAATTGATTCAACGGCAACTGACTGCTAACCATCAGCTCCACAGAAGAAAGGCCTGGCGAACTGCTTCTTTAAAAATATTATAGCCAAGAAAACCCTATGGAGCAGTTCTGCTCTGTAACACACGGGGTCACCATGAGTCAGGGGCCTAATCAACAGCAGCTAACCATAACAACATCATCATTTATATTCAAGTTAATTCACCAGGAGGTATAGAGAGCTATTAAAAGTATACGTTCTGGAACTGGACAGCTTGGGTCTGCCACCCAAATTGAAAATACTGCTGTTTTTATATTCCCAGCATCAGTACAAAGTCTAGTTCATAGTCAAACTTAAAAAATAGTTGCGGAGTAAGTAAATTGCTTAAGGAACTGGAAATGAGGTGTGTCATATGTGATGTCACACACACGCAATCACAAATAATTTTATAGAAAGATAAACTTATACACAGTCTGTAAAAGAGTGGTATAAACTTAGGATTTACCTTGAGGTATACTTGGTGCTCTTTGCTTTGGGACAGCTTCTACATTTTCATTTTCTACTAAAAGATTTTCTAGAAAAAAGAAAAAACGGGGAAAACTTTTGGATACTTGTAAAAATTTATGTGGAGGGTGCTATGACTCCATTATAATTGTCCATCCATTAATGAACTGGAAGTACCCATGGGAATGTGCCCACAAAGGCATCTATCAGCACTGATATTCTGCTTCTAGAGCTCATCTAGACCACCTTCCGAATGATTGCTCAATCCCACTGCTTCTTTATATTAGGTTTTCTGCTCCTTAAAACTCATTGTCTGGTTCCCTGCCACCACCATCTTAATGGAGTACCCAGTTTGGCCTTGGCAGACCTGCAAGGTCAAGGCTTCTGTATTTGCCCCCTGGCCCATTTATTAAATAAAGGTACAGGCAAAAAGCGATCCCACCTTCCCAGCCCCAAACCCAAGGGGCCATCATTTGCATGCATTCCTCCTCTCTCCTTTGCTGTACTTGACCCCCATCTTTATAGACTATGTACAGATTTATTTACCTATAATAGACTGTCTTTGAGGTTTTCTTGGTAAAACTGGTATTGGTATGCCAGTGGGACCAGGAAATTCACTAATAGTTAATACCACAGGAGTATTTCGTCGTAAGTGGTCAGACCACTGTCTTTCTGGTTTAGGAGATGTAATACTAGGTAGAGGGCTTAGCATTGCTGTACTTAAATCTATCGGGGGGATCTCAGAAGGATAGCTCATACTCTTTGGTGGATACTCAACGTGAACATCGACTTTGGTAGTGATAAGTGGGCAAGGGGCACTTAAAGGTTTGGAGAAATCTGAAGTAAGAATTAAGATGTCTTTAAGCCTTGAATCAATATAAATCCTTTCTAATTTGGGTGGCTGTCTCTTTGACTTTCTTAAACTTTCCATTTGACTTCTTTCTTTCCCAAAAACTCGAGCTGAAGCCGAACGAAAACTTGGAAAAAGTATGGAACCACGAGCAGTATCTGGAATGTGCAAACCAACATCCTGAATATATTTTTTAGGTGTTGTAATAGGTTTTATAAGAGTCACTTTTTCTTGTATATGATGATCAAGAAAGAGGGTTTGGACACTGATAAAGGTTTGTGATTGATTTCTTGAAGCTGTATCAGGAATAACATTTGTATTTTCTTTAACTGGAGTGGTTTCATCTTGAGCGACCTCTACATCTGGTGGTTCAGTTTCAATGGTCTTGGCTGACCCAGAAAAAGCAAAAAAGCATAATTAGATTTTATTTATCAAAGTATCAGGGACAAGACTATTCACATCTTAGTATTCATAGCTTTCCTTTACCTACCCACCCCTCTCTCACTTTCTAAAGAGGTTTGTGTATATACTTGCTCAGCTGACCAGGAGTTTTGTTGAGCTAACTGGGATAAAGCTTGAGGGAACTGGAGAAGTAAAAAAAACCTAAATTGTGTTATATTTTGAAAGGGCAGGTAGCTACTCTTGGAAAAAGAGAATTGATGGAGAAAGCAGTGGTAAATAAAGAGAGATTTTTGAGTAGATTCCACAAAAACTCTGGGGATATGGATAGTTAAAAAGCGATTTCAATGTTCTATATCCTACTTTAGTGAGTAGCATCTGGGGTCTTAAAAGCTTGTGAGCAGCCATCTAAGATACTCCATTGGCCTCACCCTGTCTGGAGCAAGGGAGAATGAAGAAAACAAAAGACACAAGGGAAAGATCAGTCCAAAGGATTACTGGACCACAAGTACCACAGCCTGCACAATACTGAGTCCAGCACAACTAGATGGTGCCCAGCTACCACCATCGACTGCTCTGACAGGGATCAAAATAGAGTGCCCCAGACAGAGCTGGAGAAAAATGTAGAATAAAATTCTAACTCACACACACACACAAAAAGACCAAATTTACTGGTCTGACAGAAACTGGAGAAACCCCAAGAGTATGGCCCCGGACACCCTTTTAACTCAGTACTAAAGTCACTCCTAAGGTTCACCCTTCTGCCAAAGATTAGATAGGCCCATGAAAAAAAAAAAAAGAGAGACTAAATGGGCACACCAGCTTCGGGCAAGGACAAGAAGGCAGGAGGGGGCAGGAAAGCTGGTAACAGGGAACCCAAGGACAAGGGGAGAGTGTTATGTCATAGGGTTGGAAACCAATGTCACAAAACAAAATGTAATTAATTGCTTAATGAGAAACTAATTTGCTCTGTAAAACTTCATCTAAAGTACAATTTAAAAAAGTGATTTCCATAAAGTTTTGCTATTTATCATGCACCGTAATTCTGTCTCATTTGATACCCTGGGTGAAGATTCAGATTTCTTTTCAATGCCTCTTTGGATGTCAGACTGCTGTGTCTTTTGAACACGACATTCTGACACCGGTTACATGAATAAATATTTCTTTCTTTCGTAGGTCTAGAAAATGCAGTATACCTGCATTCTTGGGTACCTCACTATATCAAGCATGCCTTCTCTTTCCTATGTGAGACAATGTTGAATGATACCTTTTCTCTTGTCTCAACTGAGTACAATAAATGGCGAGTATCTCTACATTCTAATGAGGAAAGAATAGATTCATCAAGGCAGAACTTGCAAAGAGATGGCCAAAACAAATCCTTCAGCCCTTAGCTTGTCACCCTGCTGTCGTCCATATATAAGAGATGGCTAGAGATTGATCTGATGGAGCGTTTGCTACTAACTGAAAGGTTGGTGGTTCGAACCCACCCAGAGGCACCCGGGAAGAAAGGTCTGATGGTCGGGAAGAAAGGTCTGATGGTCGGCTTCCAAAAGGTCACAGCCATTGAAAACCCTACGTGCAGTGTAACTCTGAAATACACGGGGCTGCCATGAGTTAGAACTGACCCCAGGGCAACTGGTTTGGTTTTTTGGTTAGAGACTGATCTGGGTTCAGAAGGAGAATTTATCCTGAAGAGAGCTTTTGGAGCACTAAGCTTTTCCTTGCTCCAACCCTCCCGTGGTGGGCGAAGGAGAAGGATTTCCCCCACTGCAAACCAAGTGAGGGGGCTTCTCAGAGAACCACTTGTGGAGTACAGGGGTATCCGCCACAGGAGACAATAACATCTCACCACACCCCTACTCACCTCCCCTACTGATACATGCCGAATGGCACAATGCTGTTTCCCAACTGGAGCAAGGTAAGAAAAACCAGCTGCTGTCGAGTCCATTCTGACTCAAGGCAACCCCATGTGTGTCAGAAGATTTCCAATGGCTGTTGTTTTGGAAGTAGATCACCAGGCCTTTCTTCTAAGGCACCTCTGGGTGGACTCAAACCTCAATCTTTCAGTTAGCGCATTAATGGTTTATACCACCCAGGGACTCCAAAAGTAGGAAACAGCAGAACCAAAATAGGCACAAGATATGCCAAAAGCAGAAGGATTAATCGGGTGCATTCTGGAGAGAAATCTCCTGAGGTTACACATCTCAGAAAGAGCCAGCATAGGAAACTTCCCGTGGGTGACAGGCATACCCTAACAGGGTAACGAACAAGGGGAGAGGCAGGATCTGTTTTTGCTCACTGTTATATCCTAACATTGTGCTCAGTATACTTGTAGAATTGAATTGGACGTTATCTTCTTGTAACAAACATTTGCAAGTTAATGGCTATCAGTGAGTGTTTTTAACTATTGCCAATTCTGAAATGTACAGGTAAAGTAATTTCTATAAACAGCAAAGAAACGTTAATACACGTATCTGATTAGTAAACATACCTGTATGGGTTTTCTTCTTATATAACGGCAGCTTAGGGAGTTTGGGAGGTAAGGGTCTTCGAAAAAGTGTTGAGTGCTTTTGCATCTTAATTAATAGTAAGCGCTGTTCTTCGTAACTATTGGTTAAGTGAGCATTAAAAAAAATTTGTTTAATATGTTTGAAGAATTGTCCCTGAAAAACAATTAATTAGAATCTAGATTACATCTTGATGAAAATCTTTCTGAGCTAATTCTCTACTGAATCCAAGCAGAATCCTTTATAAGAGTCAAAATATAATTCTTAAAAACTTTTTGAAAGAATTCAGATAAAACTTAGGTTTGTAATTACTACAGAATTTTAAAATATGTATAACTATCCAAGACCACTCTAAAATTTCCCATGTTACTAAAAAATTCAATCTGTCAGTGCTATTGCAGCTAGTAAGCACTCATTTTCCAGAACGGTCGAAAAGACTATTTTTTTTCCTTACCTGAAAAATATTTAGATTTGGGAAAGTGCTTGGTCAAAAAGATAAAGAAGGAAAGATTTCCATTATTTAAGCCTCTGAAGTTCCACCATTAACAAGTTAAGTTGTTTTCTTTCTATAATAATGACTTGTTTTAAATTTCAACCACCATAGTTGGACTATAACTATTTAATCCAAAACAAGATGAGCTTCAATATAATGAAATTTCCCAGGATCGCTCTCCCAATTAGCACTGTTTAGAACTGGTGCCAGAATATGGACCCAAGTTGCAAGCTTAGTTTGCAGGGCAACATAGAAGTGCCTGGCACGTCACTGTTCCGTTGACAGCTAGAAAGGAACGCTCCGGAGCTGCACTAACGGGACGTTTATCCCCTTCTGACAACTTTGCACACAAGAGCTCATTTTTCTCACTTTACCACTTCACTCATTTTTTACCACTGATGCCGGTAATTTTCCTTCGATAGCATCCGAAGGGATGCTCGCGAAGCTTTGGACTCCTACTCTACCCTTAGGGCAATCAGCCGCTTCTGAAACCAACCAGCTTTACGTCTTCCCTCTCCTTTTCCTCGGACTCTTAGACAGCGAGGTAAGGGTCAAGTGAGGTCGCGGAGTTTTCTCAAGGATGTTGTCCTGGCCACTCGAACCCCCAGCAAGGTGTGGCTACAGGCCCAGAAGACAGATCCCAGCAACCAGAGATCGTAAAACCGCCTTCTGGGGGCGCACCCTCTTGCCCGCCCAGGGGATGCGCAGGCGCCGGCGGGGCCATGCGGGGAGGGCGGGGCCGTGCGGGGGTGGGCGGGG